CCTCAATCACTTTCACACGCTCATACTCTTTTCAAACCTGCTCTTCGGCATTAAGGTTGATCTGGGTGCGTTGTGAATCAACATAATTGGGCTCATTTTAAGTTGACACCCACTCCCGTTGATGTGCAGCCCTCTAATGTAACAAAACTCATACTGGTGTCTGACATTTGAGCCCCATTAATTCTTTAAGACGACTGATGAATTTTTCAAAGTGGGGTTGTATTTCCTTGTTGAGTCAGGTAAAGTGGTATTTGCTGGTACATTAAATCACACTATGGACTGCGGACGGAGTTTGTGATAAAAATATATCACTATACGCTGACTTAACACACAGCTGCGCTTTGGAAAATTCAATTTTTGATTTACTGCAGATTCTCCTCAATTTCTCGAAAGCCCCTTTTTTGTTTCTTACTATGACTGATGGCCTCTTTTTATATAAATTGCGATCATACTCAGAAGATTCGCAAAACACACCTAGTAGATCAACCAATACAAAACCAAGTGATGTTAATAAACGACGAAAAAGTCATTTATCGTTGATTGTTGTCTAAAGCTAATGAATGAAATATGTCATTTGCCAAAAGCATTGTTTTATTCAAAACCGACGCAAATCCTAGGATGCAAGATAGGGCAGGTGCTCATAAATCGACACCCATAGTCTCGTTTTGGATGATCGCCAATCTTACACCCGAAGATGACTAAAGCGCCGTGAGAATAAGTCGTTATATTTAAAGGGTCCAAGAGATACAATTGACTAGCCTTCGATATTGAAATAGAGATACTACAGCTTAGCGGTATAAAGGTGGGCTGCTAGATGTGTCTCTGAAAATAATGAGGCATCATTTTGTTGGAGGTATCAAAGTGCGTTACATTCAAGTCTTAATTCCTTTTCTTAGGCTTGCATTTAGCACCTTTAAAATACTATTTTCAATCCTAAGGACTTTAAGTGTCACAATAACAATTAGCGTTACTATGACAGTTTCGTATTCATGCTTTTTCATACTGTTCAATTCAAAACTTATCATACGACCCTCAGGACGTTAATTTACTCTGAAAAAAAAAGATTATACACTAGTATGAGTTTTGCTACACTAGAAGGCTGCACATCGGCGGGAGTGGGTGTCAACTTAAAATGAACCCAATTATGGTGATTCACAACGCACCCAGATCAACCTTAATGCCGAAGAGCAGGTTTGAAAAGAGTATGAGCGTGTGAAAGTGATTGAGGTCTCCTGCTGTTTTTGTAACTTACCTGCTTGGCATGGAACCCAGGCACTGACGTAATCGATTTCAACAGCTCACGTTTTGCACTCAACTGATTCATGTGGGCGTCATTTAACAAATCATTTTATGCGATTCCATTAATCACAATGCCGGTAAATTGCGTTTTAGCCACTGCACAGGCACAACTACCGTTTCCTGCTGTGATATTTCTTTTCGGACCGATTTTGGTTACGCATTTTTGTACCTTGGATGCATTAAGTAACATCGTCGGTTTTATCACAACACCCGACGCACACATGCCCGCAGATCCCTAAACAGAATGCTGTTTCCATTGAAGAGGATTGCCAGACAGCCACGTCTGCGTCAACGGCCATGTACTAAGGAGTTATGTTCGCCCGTCATTATCCTTAGATGAGACCTTTAATGTTTGATTTGTATTAGCTTTTAATTGCTTAAGCTCGCTTCACGAACTCATTATGTAAACTCGTAATCGTGCATTTGCGAGTGTATAGACGCTTTAGCAATCAACAAACACAGGCAAAAGTTTCACCTGATAAAAGGTCATTGCGATGCAAAAAGTCAATCTAGTTGCTGCAAAACACCCAGATTTATATCAACATTATATTTAATATGTACATTTTAAAAATATCGACTAGACAAAAGGAGCAAAGTTAGACAAAATATTGAACTAGAAGCATCGCCACGAGCAAGATGGCAAACGGAACAATCGTTGTGGATGCGGAGGTTGTCGTGACAATTTTTTGTTGCTGCTGTGTAGAAGAAACAGAGCTAACGTTAACCTGTGCCGTTGACGATATTGATGCACTGCTGGTGGTTGGGAGAGTAGTTGAAGTGGTTGCAGCACTCGAGGTGGTGGTGACATTTTGCTGTGGCGTAGTGGATGAAGATGTCGGGATGCTACTGAGGGTTGTCGAAGTGGTTGCAGGAATTGCTGTGGTGGTGTCGTTTTGCGGTTGAATCAATGGTGGCGCGCATTGGTTGCGCACACATCTGTAATCCTTGGGACATCTGGTGCAATTTGGAGCCCAAAAATATGGCCTTCCAGTCTGGTGGTTGTTACTTAAAAAATAATTCGACTAATGACAGTTTGCAGATTGCCATTTCAGTTCGGGTTTAATGCGTTTTATTCTAAGCACCTTGATGACACTTATGCAAGTGACTTTATTGCTGTCAAAACCAGTTTGTAGATTTTTACACAGTATATACTTTTTGCATAAATGATCAATTACTAAGTGGCAATTTGTACTTACGCGTTATTGAATGCGCAAATCACGATGCCAAGATTTTTGTCGTTGCAGAATTTCTTTGCACAGCCTACCTTTGTCGACGTTGCCCACACTGCCTACAAGCAAATTGGAGTTAAATTGAAGCGAACACAAATTCAAACAACTAAACCGAATTATCCACGTGCATAAAAGAAGCAAATAATGTAATGTCATTGACTACTTTTGCGCAGACGTAGAATTGTACCGTGAGAAACGGTTGTAAGAGTATTCTTCATAGTCGGGTTTTATCTACCACATCACATTGACATCCAAACCATGGGTGAACTAACAGCCATGACCTGTAATACCTTGCTAGCATTCGAAACATATTTCTGAACCCAAATGCCCTAATCATAACTAAGGCATAAATTAAGAATACCACTTTGCTTCGCAAGTTGGTGTTTACAGCCTAATCTTACATGTTTGTTAAATTTTAATTACTACGGCTACCTACTTGCTTATATGAGAAGCAGTCACCGATGCAGATGTTTTTTATATATTTGTAAAGTGAAGCCTGCCTTCCAACATTGATAAACGCCTCCGTGAATTCCGGAGAGTGATTGGAAGTGACCAAGATGAAGCCAGTTTCATTGTACTGGGGATAGTCCTCATAGAATGGATATTCGTCTTTACACCTCGACACACATTCCTCCGCCACATTCTCCATTTCTTTAGAGTAATTCTGCAACAAGAGAAGAAATAGCGCACGTGGTATATGAGGCAATGTTCGTGGCTGGTACACATTGTAACACTTCACAGTTAGATTTGCTCACCAAAAGCATCATGTCGCTGGCTTGTGGTCTGACGTTTTCACGAATGCGTGTAAGATTCTCGAGGAGTTCAGCACTTTCGTTCGCCGTCGGAACATCTCCAAAGACGTGAACAATTATGGCTAATACACAAAGAATCCTGAGCATTGTATCTACAACAGATGAAGTTCCAATAATTCAAGCAAAAATATGGTTCTCAAAAAGAGGAGAACAAACCAACTTACGTGGTGGGAGCAGCTATGCTTCATTAATGCAACCGTGCAGTTTATATATGCTAGTGTCTTCAGATGTTTTTGTAATGGCTAAGCCTTACATCACGTGGTGTGTATTCGACGGAATCACGCAAAGCACATCTTACGTAATTTCGCAGATGACTACTCGGAAATTAATATACCTGGGGTGAAATTACAGGAAAAACCACTGATGAACAAGAACGGTTGGCTTAACAAACACCCATGCGTGTTGTAACTTTGCATTTTAAAGTTGGAATTTTTCGGAACCAATGGGAAGCGTGTGAGGTTTCTTACAATTTGTGGTTTTTAATAATTTCGCAATAAAGTGGGAGTTTGGCCTCAGTACCTTTGCATGGAGTTAGGCGACATTGAGTGCACGACATTAGTCACGGCACCTGACACCTTTTTCTCGTGTTGACACCTGAACTCAACACGGTAAAAGTTGGTAAATCACAGCCAGACAGTAGATATTTCTTTGGGTATCACTGAACAATGGTACCTTGGTCTTTAACCATAACACTAATGAAGTACTGCAGCATCCGACGTGGAGATAACGAGCGAATTACAGTTGCTTTTCTAAAAAGATTCAAAAATGGTTAATGGAGATAACTTGGGTTTCTCGAACAATTAATATATTTCTTCAAATAGGCGTTAATCTGCATTGCTCCTCTTGAATTCAGAAGAAATTAAGTGATTGACATTGATCACAACTGCATTTACAAAGCCGATTGGTGTGCTTCATACGATGATTATGAAAACAATGCCACCTAGCGCAAATCAGATAATTTGTCAATCGTTTACTCCAAACATTACCAGAGCGCCAAAAAGGCAAATGTTTAATGGCCAAACGGCAACTTACAAAAACAGATTTAAACATAGGTTAAGCAGATTATTTTGTTAAGTTGCAGCCAGCTTAGCTATGCAAAGTCGACTAACTCCAGTTCACTTTCTCAAAATGGCACTGCGTCGTCTTTGGTCTTATCTGACAAGCACGTTCACTGAACGTAATTTGGTAGTGATCTTTCCAAGTACTAATTTCCACGAAATTAACATGGACACAAAACAATCTGCAAAGCGTACAATTTGCGTCAGTATAAAACTGGGTTACCCGCTGACTGATTGCTGGGTTTTTCTTCTTTTTTTTCTGACGACTGCTTCAGGGTTTTGTGTGCCTTTCGACACAGGGTGGGTGTTTGCTTGCACTTGCGCCCACGCAATACTTCGCTCTTCGTGTGTGCCAAATCTACTTAACTGGACGTCTTGAAATTTTTGTTCGCGTGCTGAGTTATGCCGTAATCTACCTTGGTTTCTCTTTGAGTCAATGTGTTATATAAACAAGCTCTCAAGCAAGTTGATCTGGTACTGATGGAAGCTAGAAATATTTTATTTACTTTAACAGCGGTCAAGCAACTTTTTCAAATGTGAAAAAGGCTATTTATCTTCTCATGGAGGCATTTAAGTTCTAAGATGCAATTCTCTTTTAAAAGGGCCAATGCATGTTATACCAAATGACACTGCCTTGACATTAATGCTGCCTTGTGAGGGGGGCTGTATCTGATGCCAGGTTATGCCATTCGAGCGTTGATAACTAAATACTATCTATCGATGTTTGAGTATAAGTACAGACGTGTTTAACTTGAATACCTTCGTATGGAGTCACACAACATAGAGTACCGGATATTAATCATGGCCTACATGCCAAACGTGATTCCTTATTTTCATTATCTGACATAAAATAAATTCAAGCCTTAAAAAAACAATTTTTTGAGTGTTGCTAAAAGGGCGGACGCTGGCGTTATTACGGCGTATTCGAGTTTTACAAATGATCAATTTGATCTCTTTTCTAGCGAAGTATTTTGTGAAGCTGAGGATCTGATCTTAATCCTTCGAGAAAAATAATGCTATGTAGCCTGCCATTTAGGAAGTCCTTTCACGAATATTTAAATAGTAATCTTCACTATTGGCTATGCTATTTTTCTATTCTATCTACAAAATATGCCGCCCTCCCTGACGAGTTATGAGCATTTATAATGCTAAAACTCAAACGTTTTAAGCGTTATACGATTTCGCATCACCTGGGTAAAATAGGCACATGAAACAAATAGCAAACACACCAATGGCCAAAATGGAATGAATACATCTAGTGCAAGCTGAATCAGCTAATAAGGCATGTTGATGCTACGATTCTTATTAGGCGAAAATGTCAGATCATGTAAATTCTGCTTACTTTTATCTGTTTGAATGTGTGGTCGCGTCATTGGCAAATAATTGAAGCATGAGCACGACCTACTTACTGATCTGGAGGTGTCAATATTACATTCTTAGTTCATTGGTAATTGCCACCACAAACACAGCAAAAAACAGCTCTTACGCATTTAAACTGCTTTTATTACTTTGGGGACGGACTGTATTCGAACGACCACCTACCACCCTCAGTCAGATGGCATGATAGAATGTTTTCACCAGCAACTGAAGGCCGGACGTGTTGCCTCTCGTACTACTCGGTATCTGATCAGCCGTAAAGAAAGACTTGGGTTTTTCTCTGCAGAAATGGTTTTCGTCAAACGAATGGGAAATGGAGACGCCTCATCTTTTGGCCGCATCAAACCAGCATTCCTTGACATGGAGACTTCGCCAAGCAAAAAACCCGAGGCGCTGCCAATTCCCATCCTTTCCGACAATAAAGAGACGATTATCACTACACGCTATGGTCGACACGATCATTGGCCTGATCGTTGCATTCTTGTTCTCATATCCTGACGATCGTGTGTCTCAAACTCCAAACATCTCATTTTTGTTGAATCTCGCCTAGTGTACCACATTTTGGTTTCAATTTCATTAACTCGCTTTGTTTCTCGATTCTCAAGTGCTAGCTTCCAGGATATAAACTCCGACCTCAAACAAACTCGAGCAAATTTTAGGCATTATAAATTCATGTGAGACTAGATGGCTCTTAAAGCACAGTTGCCCAGTGAAGCATGCCATGTTGTTACACGAAAACCACATGGCCACGTTACGTGGGATTTGAGAGTCATGGGATGTTAGACACGTTGGCGAAAGTGCTGTACTTTCGTTTACTCTCCTTCACACTGCTCCTTCCTACGTGGTTTTAACGTAGTTAATACCTAGGGTCTCATCCACTTATGTCATGTATAAGCTGTCTACTCGGACATGTCAGTCGGTCCTTTACTAAGACGGTGAATATTCTCTACACGACATCGTCTGTGGCATGGAACTGGCAGGGCAGGAGTTGTATTAGACAGTGTAGTTTGAACTGATTTTCATTGGGTTACGTACAAAATTGTACAACAGCCTGCGCGCCTGACTCCATACAGAATGTAACTCGAAATTCTCTACTTCTACATCCTGATATAAATGATGTGGCAGAACCTCTGAAGTGATTATTTACATTGAAGTGATTGCCATATCGGTAACAGTTGCCGTTTTTCTTACAGATTTCTGGTATCACGAGACAAAAAACAGAAGCCCTTTGAGTAGCGTGAGATATGAAACACAAGAATTTCCCTTAATCCACCAGCTAATAAGATATCGTGAGTATGTTCCTCCAGATGTCACGTCAAGAATATCACTTGCTGTCAGTCAGGACACTAGCCTTGAGTGCATTCGACAAACACAGCTTTGGTTGCAACATAATCATCATCTTCTGTCTGAGTCGAAATCATTTCTTCCCACTATTTGCAGATCAGAAATTATGTTAGCAAATCAAATTGTGAAGTGGTTAAAGAGGCATCAACGTGGACATTTATACGTGTCATTTATTTCTTTACTACAGAGATGCACAGATGACATGGAACGAAAAGCTGCACGATGGGTACATCGTTGTATAGCTAAATATCCTTCCGATTTCGCATACCCAGAATTTGTCGGCATTGGGTTCATCTTCTCGAAGTTTAGCAGCCAACCGAGTTTCAGGGATGCAATTTTCCTAACTAACAACTCCCAATCATACCACTATTGTACCAACGCCTGTAAAGGGGCCCGTAAAAATTATAAGCAAGTTAGTGGCGATTTCCATCATTTCCTTGTTTGCGTGAATCAGCTGTTCTTTCTCATGTGACAAGCCTAAATGATTTGTATTCTATAAATTAATCACCAACACCATTTAGCATTTCATATCTTAGGTACCTTTGTAGATGATAGTGTGAATATATGCCGGGAAGCAGGTTTATGAACGAATGAGTACTATGGTCTATGTCAATGTGCTCAATTTGATGTTTATGAGAGAACTTCATGGTGGAGTTTCAAATGTTGCCCTTTCGTGAATTATACAAAAAGTCGATCAAAACCATTATGTCGCAGAAGAGACTAATCCAATTCCCTAGAACTACTCTTAGTCACCTATGATAACACACACAGCCAATGAGTAGATATCGTTTCTTTAACATTTCAAATCTTTTAAAAAATCACGTTCGCGAAATGAAGCTATTGAAATATGATCCAAAGGGAGTGTTTTAATACTTGGCCACTCCAGTTGACCCAAATAATGCTGTTAAACAAGCTCTAGAAAGGTGATGTTGGTAGTAGGCTTGAAAGTTATGCATGATTTAAATTTAACGGCGTAAATATAAACAGACCAACCCAAAGTTGTAAAAATTACCCGTAAGTCAAGAAAGCCAGTCTGAAATATTTCCAATGAGATACAGTCTCAAAGGACGCGTACATTTTAATACCTACGGACGATTTTAATTTACGCATTTTTTATTGTTTTACTTAATTTAATGACTTTTGTGTAGGCGGTGACAGCAGAATCATGGGAGGTTGGATGTGCGAAAAAATTCTGCAAAAACATCGGTTTAGGTCATGTGGGTTGTGCATTCAATAACCGGTAAGTACCAATTTTTATATTTATCATTTTCCCATATTTTAACCATAATCAGCAAATGTTAGAACTTA